CAGCTGGGAGTGCTTGTTGCTGGCGGCCCTCCATGCACCATCAGCCCGCTTGACCTGGTATGCTGCCGTCTCCCCTGGCTGCTGTGACAAGGCTGCGAGCATCGTACGCTGGGCCTCCAGGGCAGCCTTCATCTCCTGACCCTCGGTGTTCGCCAATGCCTGCTCGATGAGGTGGGCCAGCTGCGACTGTCCGTTGGCGTTGCGAGACTTCCGACCTCCTGGGCTCCTCGTCCTCCTGGCGGCTGGATTGTTAGCACTGCCTCGGCTGCTGTGTTACCAATCTGTCTCGTCTTCAAATCGCACCTACCGGGTGTCACGCTCGGGGCCGTGTGGCTTGAAGAGATTCTTGACATGAGCCCGGCAGTGTTGGCATTGCATATTCACAGCTCTGATCCTGTCGTTATCCTCACATGATTGGCAGTTCCCGCATCGCGTCCAAGGTCTGGACTTCGCTTGCGGCGCTGCCATGGCTCCCTGTTTTTGCGGAAGCTTGTGCAATGGGCGGTAGCACAGGCAAACGTACTCAAGCACCTCGTTAAGGTACAGGGGTATGACTGAGGTGGATGTGTTCGTGAAAACCCGGAACTTCCTAGAGAGAGGAGGAGGAGGAGGAGGAAGAGGAGGAGAAAAAGGATCAAGGGGAGCAGGAGCAGGAGGATGAGGAGGATCCAATAACAGAAGCAATGGTCTTAGAACATCTGCCCGATGTAGAAAACAAGGCAGTCTCAGCCAGAAATGTTCTGAGAACGTTTCGTTCTGACCACAAAAGGTTATTCGACAATTCTTTGGTGGGCCTATAGGCAAGGCAGGGCGCTTCGCCACTGCTAGACAAAAAGCATGCCGGGTAAGAGGAGGAGGAGGAGGAGGAGGAGGAGGAGGAGGAGGATGGGGAGGAGGAGGAAAAGGGCGGAGGAGGAGAGGAGGAAGAGGAGGAGGAGGAGGAGGAGATGGGGAGGATGGGGAGGAGGAGGAGGAGGAGGAGGAGGAGGAGGAGGAGGAGGAAGAGGAGGAGGGGGGGGGAGGAGGGGAGGAGGAGGAAGAGGAGGAGGAGAAGGAGGAGGACGAGGAGGAGGAGCAGGAGGAGGAGGAGGACGAGGAGAGCAGGAGGAGGAGGACGAGGAGGAGGAGGAGGAGGGCTTCAGGGCCTCATTTGCGGTCGAAATTCAAGGGCGCCCAGGAGGGCCCCGATAAGCCCAGGATGGTCTCCAGAAGCGGCCCACAAGGCCTCTATATGACGCTCTAAGAGGTCCGCAAGGAGAGGCAACCAAACATGCCGAACATGCCGGTTCGAGAGACTTCCGAATTCTCGCCTGGCCTTGTGCAAGCACATCGAAGACCCCACGTGCCTTTCGTGAGGCACATTCACGCCCCGCTCCCCAAACTCCACACACACACAGACACAGGCACAGACACAGACACACACACACACACACACAGACACAGGCACAGACACAGACACACACACACACAGACACACACACACACACACGCAAGACGACCCCCACGAGGGCCATCACAATAAACTCAAAGTGGTTCCAGAAAAAACAAGATGTTCAACTTTCTCGTTCGGTCGGTCCTCCTGAAAGCCCCAGACACCCCGGCAGGCGCAATGGATCAATCCAAGACGGACCAAACGGCCCTCACGAGGGCTCCAAGACGGCTCAAGGTGACTCCAAGACGGCCGAACAAGCCATCAAGACGACCCAAGAGCGCCCTAGAAGAGCCCATAACGAACACAACGAGCCAACCCGACGGTCCAAAGGCCTCCAAGAGATCACTAGAGGGTCTCTAGCCCCAAGGCGGCCGAAGGGGCCCCCAAGAACGCCCCGAGAGGGCTCAAAGAAGACTGAAGTACACGGAATTGACTTCACCATCGTATATTGCAAGATGTTGGCGTGTCCGCCTTCTGGTCCCCACCAGGATCCCCAAGCCCTCCAAATAAGGGGCCCAGCAACTCCCGCCAACCCGCGTCGCGGTGGCGGCATGGGCTGCGCGCCCTCAGAGAAGGGCCGCAGGGCCCCAGCTCGGCCTCCCCGCGCATCCGAAGAAGACGCGAGCACACGCACCAAGAGAACCGGATGACAGTCCAACATAACCTTCCCAGACCGCCAAGGTTTAATGCGGGCCTGTCCTCCTACACGGGGATGTTGGACGAACCATAACAATAGTCCAAGCATGCCCCAAGATGGCCTCAGAAACGAGTCAAAAAAGCCTCCCCGGACTATGTTTGTACTATGTTTGAACGGTCCCCCAGTAGAGGGACAGGCCCGACTTACACATAGCCTTGGGACCCCCCAAACCGGGTGGTGAGATACCAGGTGGCGACCTGAAATACCCAAAAAGGTCACCGCTGGGTTTGGGGACGCGGGGTCACCACCCGGTTTTGTGACTCCTGGCCCCACCAGTGTCCGGGACATCCCCAAAACGCCGCACGAGCCCCCAAACCGGGTGGTGACACCACATGGCCCGAGACTCACCGCCAGGTGTTGCCACCGCCACGGTCCGTGTGGCAGCGTCTGCGCATCCGCCGGGAGCGCCCCGCATCGGCGGGGCACGGGCCGGAGAGGCCGCTCCAACGCTCGCAGGGGCAGGGGGCCCGGCGGCTCGACCCTGCCCGATCCCCATCGCGAAGTCCGTGCCTCCCCCCTCCCCCTCTCGCCCCTTGCCTTACGTCGGGCGTGTCCCCCTACAGGGGGATTTTCGGCGAAAAATAAGGATACTCAACAAATTCTCCAGCATGATCAACGAAAACACTCCAAAAATAGTCCCCAGACTATCTTCTATGATTTTTGAATATTCCCCCTGTAGAGGGACAGACCCGACTGAACCCTTGCCCCACGACCTCTCCCATCCTCCTCCTTTTCCCCGCCGTCCTGCCGTCCTGGCGCCGAGGCTGAGACGTCACTGCATCGGAGTGCACGTCCGATTGCTGGGACAATGCAGGCGGAAGCCGCATGACCTCACCACGACCCTTCCTCGCAGCGTCGATGCCCGCGCGATCTTCAGCGCCGATCTCTGAAGGGTAGCGTTGCTCAGGCAACGTGACCGAAACTCGGTCTCTCGTTTCCCCCCCGCCCCAGCTAAATTTGCGACCCCTGATGTTCTTGAGCCCCATGGGACTCATCTCTGCCGGGGGCGCGCGCGTGTCAGGATTGAAAGCGAAACGGAGCGCGCCTGCAAAATCTGGTATACACATATCGTGTATTGCTTCATGTGTATGGATGGTATGTGTATACATGATTGCTCATTCACTGATTATGTCTGTATGTAGGTGTGTATATACACAGTACATAGAACTATCGCGCGCTTCGCGCGCGCTCAAGTTCTAGCGAGTTTCTTGGGGCCTCCTCGGAGCATCCTGGACTGCTTCTTGAAGTCGTCATGGGACCTTCTTGACATGTATTCGGGGTGCAGTCTTTTGGGTGCAGTCTTGGGGCCTCCTGGAGCCTCTTTTGGGCTTCTTGGGGGCCTCTTGGGGCCTCTTGGGGGACTTCCGGGCCTCTTGGGGGCTTCCTGGGGGCATCTTGGGGCCTCTTGGGGGCATCTTGGGGCGGAGAGCTTGATTTTTCGGTTCGCGTTCCCTCTCTTGGGCCCCTTTTGGCGTCTTCTTGGGACCCTCTTGCGCCGTCTTGGGCGGCCCTGGGGCCGTCTCGGGGCTCTCTCGGGCCGTCTTGGGGCTCTCTTGGGCGCCTCGTGGGCCGTCTTGGAGCGGTTTTGGGAGCCTCTCGGGCGGTGCTTTAGCGACGGAAACACGAATCAGCGAGAATGCAAGAAACATCGAAACAACCCATCAACATCAACGATCTTGCCCTCTCGGGGCGCTCTTGGGCGGCATCTTAAAGGCCTCTTGGGGTGTCTTGGGGGCCTCCGGGGCAATTTAAAACGCATCGTGCGTCGCTATAAACCCCTGGACGGCGTCTTGGGGGTCTCTCGAGACCGTCTGGGGCCGCCGGGATTGCTGTCTGGGCCCCACATTTGCGGTCGAGGCTCGGGCCCCCGGCCCCCGGACCCGGTCCCCCGTTAGGTGTGTGTATATATGTATATATGTATACACATATATACATATATATATATATATATACATTTATCTGTGTAAGCTGGGGAGACTCCCGAGGGCCAGACTTGTTTTGCATCCGCAACTCTGTGTGATGACTCTTCCCGGAGCTCCGTGAAACGTTGACTGGACGGGCGAGGCCCCTCGACCAAGGAAACCGTGGCCCGAGACAATCACAGTCCACAGGACACTGCTCGAGCTGAAAATGGGATGGGAGCGCAGCGTGGGCGGGAGGCTTGAGCACACGTGTCAGCGGCCCTCTCCCGCTTCCCACACGCAACAAAGAATCTATGGCACGCCATTGCAATCTGTGTAAGCTGGGGAGACTCCCGAGGGCCAGACTTGTTTTGCATCCGCAACTCTGTGTGATGACTCTTCCCGGAGCTCCGTGAAACGTTGACTGGACGGGCGAGGCCCCTCGACCAAGGAAACCGTGGCCCGAGACAATCACAGTCCGAAGCCTTGAAAACTCGAGCACCAGCGAATTTTAAAACCCTGGCCTTAGGCCTCCACAAACCTGTCCAGGCTCAGAAACGAATGGTTTCAGAGACTGTTGGAAACACTTAGCTACCAGCCTGCAAAAATCTTTTGGGTACGGTTCTGCGATGTGCGTCCAGAAAATACCTGGGGCATCTTTGCCCTCGAGGACCTGATGGGGGCGGCGGCTAAAACTGCAGACCCCGCGACCCGAGCATTTATAGGGGATGGGCGGGTCGAGGTTGAGATGGCAGTACAGCAGCCGAGTGCGTTTGCGCCAAGGGGTCGAGAACGCACAGAAATCAAAGTCCACAATACGAGCGCTACGAATTCGAATGAGACTGCGCGCGCCTGGAAGCTGCCACAACCAGGATGTGCTGGGATTCTCAATCACTACGGGTATGTTTAAACTGCGGGCAAGCAAGAAAAGAGAGAAGCTGAAAGTGGCAAGTGCGTTTCCTCGCTCGACCTTGAGCTGATCTCCTGGCGACAGGCCTGGCAGCCCCAGCGGAAACAAAGCCGTCCGCAAGGGTGGTGGCCCGTTGGGGCGGTTGCGGGCGCGGCTCATGGACTGGCAGGGCGTCGCAATCCAGATCGCGACGATGAGCCGACTCCGCACCCAGCCTCGAACCAGCTGCCTGATCCGCCTGAGGAGGAGGTCGCTGTCGGCGTCGTGGCGGATGTCCAGCTCGAAAGCGGCATGCTGCGAATGAAAACGCAGGCGCCACGCTGCCGCCATCCGGCCCGAGCCGCTGAAGACCTCCAGGAAGACGCCGGATCTGGAATGTCTCACCCACGATGCCAGCTCGCCGACGGGGTGGCGCCAGGCCCGCGGAGCGCCTGCTCGGCACTTAGCGGCAGGGCGCGCGGCAGCCCGCGAAGATGCTCCTGCACCTGCCTCCCCTCGGCGTAGCATTGAAGCGCGGCGTCGGTCGACCACCTGGCGCGCATGTGGATGTCCCGCAGAGGCCGCGCCGCCGCGAACAGCTCGTGGCATGCGCCATTGTGCCCGTGCATCAGGTAGCTCCAGACCTGCAGGCCGAGCTCGGCCAAGACGGCCATGACGTGGCCGCTCCACTGCGCCTGGGCCACAGGCCAAGGGCGGTGGCCACCAGGCGTCCGGCGGTGCGGCTCCTGCACGGGTCGTGGCACCCACGGGGAGCGGGTGAGGCCCGCCCGCAGGGTCTCGTCGAGCACGTCTGTCATGGATGGGGTCTGCATGTCGGACGGCTGGAGGACCATGCACCACTGGTGCAGCGCCTCGGCAGCGGTGAGCCTTGGCGGGATGAGCTGCGACTGCACGAAATCCAGCGCCTCGCGCGGCCTCGGGCACAGGTCGACCGTGGGCGCGGTGGGCCAAACGTACTCCTCCAGGCCCCCGCAGCACAACGTCACCACGAGGAGGCACACCACAGGCCGTGAGAGCGTCAGCCGCGGCCGCGGCGGCGCCAGGCATGACAAGGTCTTGGCAGCCCGCGCCGCCCACAGCTGGCGCCACTGCCGCCGCCCGAGGGTCGGACGCACGAAGGCAAAAGCCGCCATCAGCATCCTCACGGCGCTGCTCTTGCCCCCGTACAAGAACACCTCCAGGAGGGTCAAGCCCTGGCGGGGGGCCGCAGCCGGGAGGAAAGGAAAGAGGTTCGCCTCCCCCCGCTGACGGCCCGCCCAGCGGTCGCCCTCGGCTGGGCGCGCTGCAGTCTCCGGCGCTGCTTGCGGCCTGCCCTGCAGCTGGCGAGCGCCCACAGCACCCGCAGCCGCAGTCGGCCTCCTGCGAGCCCGCATCGCCGGCGCGGCAGGGGCCGCCCCGTCGTCGAGGACCGACACCAGCACTGCCGCCGTCATCCTCCCCGGGGCCCAGCGTCTGGGCGGGCGGGCAGGTCGCGTCGAGCTTCGATGTCTTGATCCGCACGGCCTCGGGGGTGTCACCAGCCTGGTCACGAGACGCTGGATCTGCGCTGTTATGCTCTGATGGGACCCAACGCCAGATAGCAGATGAACCAGGAGCCAACAGAAGAGCACATGCCTGACGACAGATTCTCAGAAGCGGGGGCGACGATGATCTGCCCTTGAGAAGGGCCAACACTGGGGCCATGGAGTCATTCAGGATGATGTGCGTGGTGTTGAAGTTTCGAGTGGCTCGCAATCGATGTTTCAGACACAAGACTAAGGCTCTCCCCTCCAGCACCACCTGAGCCTCCCTCCTGGTCCACGGTGTAGATAGAACCCGACGCCATCCTTCCGCCCAGACCTCCTCGGGCACCTCCTCGAACGTGATTTCCTCCCCCTGATTCGGCTTCGGCTCGACTCGGAACGGGACCTGCTGCTCCATGGCTGCTGCTACGACTGCTGGATCGCGGTAGGGCTCCGACGAGGCTTGCTTGAAGCATGACGAGGTGATGCGCTGAGCTTGCTTGCTCTCCGAGGCTAAGGCCTTGTCGCGAGGGGCAACCTGTTGCTCGCCATCCCGACTGAACCTCCATCGTTCGTTGAAGATAGACAAACGACGAGCGTGGTCTGAGGTGATGGTCTTCTCTGTCACACCAGCGCCCCACCACGAGGCGTCCACGCAGGACACGACAGGCGACAAGGGCCGCCCGGCGTCTCGAAAACACAAGGGCAGCAGTGCGCGGCACCAAGCCAGTTCCCGTCTTACTGCCGGCGTCAGCCGCCGCCTCTCGCGGCCGCCGTCGCCCATGAAGCCGTGCACGGCCCCCGGGCAGCTCAGCAGCTCTCGTCGAATTAGCGCCCTCGAAGTGAAGTGCGATACCACCTTCATCATGGTGTGACCGCTGCACCAGCCTTGCTCCAGCAGCTCGCCGATGCCGAGGCGGAGCCGCCAGCGTAGTCGAACGCTGAGGCCGATCACGGGCTTGTCCTCGTCAAAGTGCCAGCCCAGCGTGTCCCCGCCGACCGATGCCTCCACGGGGTGCGAGGGAAGGTCTGAAGCCGTCAGCTCCCCCTGTACTGCAGTAGCTGCATCACGCACCTCGCGCAGCCTGTGGGACAGGGCGATGAAGTTGTCGACGTAGACCGTGTGCGCCATTCCCTGCTGCAGGTCAGGCGCAGGCCGACGGTCCACAAGTCGACGGCCAAAATGGCCAGGAAGCGCACGGGCGGTCACCGCCTCGTTCAGGCTCTGGCATATCCATAGGCTGATGCTCCAGCCCATCGGCGGGCACCGAAAGCACGGTACCACCCAGGCCGAGGGTCTCACGGGCGCGCCGTCGGACAGGTTCACCAGCCCGAGGTCGCCAGCCCTCACCTTGGGCAGCCCGAAGTAGCGGCGCAGCCACTGTGGGAGCTCGATCTGGTAGAACGCGTCGCAGATGTCGACCCCCCCGATGCTGATGGGCTCGTCGCCGTCGACCGAGATCTGGGCGAACGCCGAGCCCGTCGCCAGCTCCACGGGGTCTGCGGGCGCAAACCTGAGCGAAGCGTGCCTCCCGTCGAGGATCATCCGCAGCGACCCGTTCTTCTTGCGTACGAAAAACATGCCAACGTAATACTCCGCCGAGCTGCTGAAGTCCACCAGCCCGGCGCTCATAAGCCGCCGCACCACCATTCTACAGAGGCGCGGGTTGCGAAGGGCAGGGTCCGTGTAGAGCCGTCTCGGACCCACTTCCTTGATGCGCTCCATCCCCAGCTGTTGGGGCAAGAGTAACTCTTTCAGCCGGCGAGCGATGTTCTGGCCTGCCATCTCGTCGATAGCCTCCAGGGCGGCGGGCTGGCTGCCGGCAGGAGGCAGGGAGATGGAGTCGACGAGGTCGAAACTCACCGGGGCAACCAACGTGGCGTCACCCTCGTACGATTGAGATATCCGGAGCTCCTCGAGGGCTCCTGGACCGTCCAAGCCCTCTGGGCACGGGCCAAACCTCACAGCGGCTTGTCGGAGCTCCGAGAGGACGAGGGCGTGGCCAGCGGCAGGCACCGGTATGCCAGCGGGCGCTTGACGGCGCGCCACGGGCGGGCAGCCCCACAGGTCGTTCAGCGCGTCGGTCATCTCCACGACCACGCCGTGAACGTGCGACCGCTTCTCAAGGCGCCTGCGCACTGACCTTGAAGGCGGGGAGGACGTAGTAGGAGAGAAAGTTCCAGCGCCAAAGTAAGGTAAAGGAAAGAGATCACGTTGGCGAAGGTCGGCGCTGGAGTCGGAAGCCTCATGTACAGGTAGATCTGCTGCGCCCGCGAGGCCCACGGGCGCCCCCTCTCTCGGCCTGGCTGACTCTCGGGCGAGGGGTACCCGAGAGCCGTCCGCGTCGCTCATGATGACAGAGCGCGACGCTCTTCACGGGCTTCCCTGATCTGCTTCAGGATCCCTGCGTCGCGCTCCATCTGTTTGGAGACATGCTCCAGCAGCAGCGGGCATATCATGGAACGGCCATCCTCCTTGACCGCCCCTGTGAACACCGCCGCCTCGTCCACGATGCCGAATCGGTGGAGCCCTCCTCCCCGACCTCGGCCCCTCTTCTTGCCGTCGCCCTCGTCGCCGTCCTTGGAGCCCTTCGACTGATGCGCAACGAACTCCATGGAGTAGATGTACTCGTGCAGCTGGGCCTGGCGAGTGGCCAGCTCAGCCCCGACCAAGTCGGGAACATTCACCTGATCCCAGCACCCGAGGTGCTTGATCATCTTCATTATGATCTCATAATGATCGACCCCGAACTCCTCCATCGTGAGATGATAGAAGGCAAAGAAGCTGTTGTAGTGCTCCACGGGGCCGCTCCGCCTCATGTCGATGAATTGCGCGCGCCAGAGCATGGTCCGAGGTCCGTCGAGCGACCACCCCGGGATGGGACTCTCCACCATCATCGGCACAGCCTCACGCCAAGCCAGTCGATGCCTGGAGCCGTCGGGTCGAGGTGGTACGTCCACCAGCCTGATGTCCGCCCCGCTCTCCGCGCATCTGTACACCGATGAGTCCATCGAGATCCGACGGATGGCAGCCCAGCCTGCGTTCGGCTCCAGGAGGCCGATGTCACCTTCGATCCGCTCGGTCCCGTTGAGCTGGACAACATCGCCACGACTGCCACCACCCGTGCTCTCGATGAGCACCCACACTGGGGCCAGCTCAGCGGGCGGCCCAACCACCCCTGCCGCGGCCGACGGCGCTGCGCCGACGACGCCCGCTGGGGCGCCTGCGGCTGGCACGGCGACGGCCGCCAGGGGACCTGCAGCAGGGGCGGCGACGGCGCCGGCCCCGGCCACGCTCGCCAGAGGCGCGGCAGGCGCTGCTCTGGCGGCGGCTCCCGCCGCGGGCGCGAGAGCGGCGGGGCCTGCGCCAGGAACGCCTGGTCCAGGGGCGGCTGCCGAGAAATCGAACTCCAGGTATGAGCCACCAGCGGGAAGCGTGCGCGGCCTGCCAGCAGCGCGCTCGCGGTCCAAGTACAGCTGGTCGGTTACCTGCACGAGAGCGTCCTGGATAGCGACCGTCTCCCTCGCGTTCGGCTCACCCCTGAACCTGCACAGCCGAGTCGGGTCCCCACCCTGCAGCGCCTGGCGCGTCGGGCTGAAGACCACGGCGACTATGTCTGGATTCCCCTGACCGTACCGTTCCTCGTACACGTCGTGGTCGGCGCTCGAGAGGCTGGGGCACGACACCGACGGGCACGCCGGCGAAGAAGGACAAGCAGGCGCCGCAGGACACGGCGGCGCTCGCGATATCCAGGCCGCCAGCAGGTGGGTAGCTACGCCCAGGATCCGCACGAAGGGTCTGCCAACCATCCGCGATTCTGCCTGGACAGGTGCCCCCAGCTCGCTGGAAGAAAGGCTTGAGCACACGTGTCAGCGGCCCTCTCCCGCTTCCCACACGCAACAAAGAATCTATGGCACGCCATTGCAACATATATATATATAAATATATATATATATATATGTATATATATATATATATATACATATACATATATATATACATATATATATGAATATATCTATATTAGATATGTGCGCACAGCATGAATATGCGTGGGCCTCAACGGCCCCACATGTGATGTCTACAATATTTATACCCGCCGTGTCACCGCCTCTAGAGTTCGAGGAATATCGGTTTCCTGGTTGGCGGATGTGTACAAACTCGGAGACCACCGCGGGAAAGCTTGGGACTCGTCTCCCTCGAGAGTCCAAGGACCCCTCTTCTTCGTTTCGGGCGGGTCTACCGATTTCGCCGCCCTGGGTGGCCAGTCAGCACCATGTCGAAGACGACGACGATGAACACCAGAGTCTGCACCTGGGCGACCCGACGCCGTCAGAATGGCCACTGCACCAAGAGCATCGAAACAAAGCTTAACAGCGTTGACGTCCATGCGAGGGAGACGTGAGGGATTGCCAACATGTCTCTGGCCCAAGGTGTCCCCAGACATCCGTTCCATTTGAAAGCACCAGGGGCCCTGTCGGTCTCGCGATGTGTGATCTTTTGGGTGATCCAAGAGGGGGTCCAGCTGAAAGGGGGTGGTGCAATAGATGTGGGGCAATTGGATTGCAAACGTATTGCGCCAGAGATTTGTATTGCATTGTATGGCAAGCAATGTACGGCACGCGAAAAATCCAGCAATGCATGTGTGCCCCAGAATGTACTGCACGCCTCAAATGTATTGCAGCCCCAC